GGACAGAACTTTGTCTGCCTCGGGAGACCCGCACTATAATTGCCCAACTTCGCTCTGGCTATTGCAGCAGGCTCAACAGCTACCTGAGCAGAATCAACGAGCATATGCCCAACCAATGCCCGGCATGTGGAGAGTCGCCACATGACTCCCGGCACCTCTTCACATGCCCTGAGAACCCCACTCAGCTAACGCCCCTATGGACAGCGCCTTTTGGAAGTAGCACACTGAAATAGACGACAACGTTGATGGATGAACCGCCCCGAACGGGGCTTAGTAGCCGCTACAACAACAACAACAACAACAGCGGCTCCGCTGGCTAGACCATGTCGTTCGAATGGACACTAACGCTCCAGCTCTGAAAGTATTCAATTCGGAACCTGCTGCTGGTAGCAGAGGAAGAGGGAGCCGCCCCCCCCCCCCCCCCCCCCCNAAACGACTGGCGTGCTGTTCTGAACTCGGCCAAAATCGCTTAGGCGGTTACTAAGTAGAATTTTCCTTTCTGTTTTTCATTTCCTTTTTATGCATTACCTTCTTTGTATGTGTTGTTTTAAATTCCCATTTTCAAAAATAATGAAACGCATACAAGTAGTACATATATAAACAATATATATTTATTTCTTCAAACAAAGACTATCGATAGTGCAAAAAATAGAACCATTCGATAGTATCGATAGTGCCATCGATAGTTTTACAGCTCTACTATTTACACGCAATAATACAAGGTGGTATCAGTTGTGACAGCTCGATTTGACACTGCCTTAGCTGAGTAAAATGAGAAGAAAAACGGGAAGAAATGAATCCCCATATGGGGGAAAAATATAAAATTTCACATTTTCTCCGCGAGTGGAAGCAAACAGAAAACACAAGAGAATGCGGAAAAAATTCCTGTCAAGACTTGTAGCGAGTCCAGTTTCACTTTGCTGCACACCTTCCTTTTGGTATAGATGAAATTGCAAACATTGTTATAACATGAATTTTTTCAACATCTGGCATGTGCTAAAATTCGTACTTACCTTACAGAAATGTCAGGTGGGGACCGCAAATTTCCACTTTTAAACCACGTCTGTCTTGCCGAATTTCTTACCATCGCTGTCTTAACATCAGCTGTAATTTCGTAGTTTGACAACTCAGTTTTCATTTTACCGCGCCACTTACATTGAGTATAGATCGGTCTGATTGGCTTGATGCCATTTTGAAAGTGTTAAGACAGCAAGTTCCAGGGTGTCCAAAAAGCGCAATTTCTGAAAAAAGTCGCCAAAAATCGTCCTTTTTTTAAATTCATGAAATCGATTTAACAAATATTTTATTTTAAAAATGAGATCTCGTTATAATATAGTTTTTAAAACCAAAAACGAATATAATGCCTTCAGAGGGTAATAATAAATAACACAAATCATTTATATAATAGTGATGCACAAAAGTTTTCTTTAAAAATACGCATGCTTATTAAATTTATTATAACTCATATTAATTGATTAATCGCACAATCCGCTTTTAAGAGCTCGGTGCTAAAAATTGAATAAAAACCTATAATAAGGCGAGATCAGCTATTTTCACAATTTCTTCAAAATCACCTATAGTGTCTGAATGATTTACAATTCTGTTCATATATTGGGCTATTCAACCTTGATAATATACTGTTTGATATTGGAAACGCTTTGCAGCAGAAACTATTAGCCTTCATACAAGACTATTCGAACTATTGAATTAGGCTTTCTATCCTATTTCGAATCTTATTTCGACAGCTGAGTTGAAGATCGACCTATCTCGGCAGCCAGTTTAAAAACGCCCTATCTCAAAAACTTTTCATGAACGCCCTATTTCAGAATTTTATTGAAAAATACCCTATCTCAGAATTTGGATGAAAAACGCCCTATCTCACTTCAAAATGTATTGAAAATGTGCTCATATAGGGCGTTTTTGAATCGGCAGCTGAGATAGGGCGTTTTTGAATTGAATTCTGAAATAGGGCGTTCTTGAAAAGTTTTTGAGATAGAGCGTATCCGAGTTTGCTGCGAGATAGGTCGATCTTCCACTCAGCAGTCGGTTTTTTGTTGAATTCATTACGGAAAAAACGCGCTCAACAAAGTATGTGAGTGCCGCAAGGATAATAATATGAATTTACTTATATGTTCAAACATTTTATTGCCTGTTGCGGTTTTCACTCCGTAATACTATGTTCTGACCGACATCGAAAACATGTTTTCGTTGCCAAAACTAGTTTTCGACCTAAAACATGTGTTTTCGTCCATGTAAAATCTGTCAAACGAAAACCAGTTTTCGCTGAAAACTACTTGAAAACTCACGTTCCACTCGTTCCAATCGGTGTCTTCACTAGTTTTTTTCGATTATCTATCGAAGTGGAAGTCATATTTTATCATCGTTAATGCGCTTTCTCGTATTTATTGTTAATTGGCTGGCCAAAGTAAAACATGAATGAAAGTAAGAGGTTGCTAATGAAAAGAAAATATGGGAAAAACACTTTGGTTTTGTTTTTGTGTAGCAAAACTGCAATGAGAGGATGTAAGAAATTTCAACGAAAACACTAACAGCCGGTGTGAACAGCCTTCAGCCCACAATTCCAAAACTCGTTTTCTAAGTGTTTTCGTTGTCGGTAGCAATTATCCAAAACTCTTCAAAATCGGATGGAATGGTTCTGAGAAAAGTTATTCCATGGGAAAGTTAAAAGATTTAAATATTCAGTTTCCGCTGCTTTTCTTTCCTTCAAAGTAAAATAGTGAATTGGCAGGTCCCTGAAACTCGCCCTTTTGTGATTCACACACTTTTTTGGTGACAAAGTCCAAGCATTTTTTAAAAGTATTTAATTGACTATGTAATCCGTTCAAAAGTTCTTCGATTAGGGTGATGAAATATTTTTGAACATTTTAATATGCTTCTTAAGTCAAGTTTATCACGCAGTTCACTAGCCTCTTCTGTAAAATTATCGTGGAAAACTAAGTTTTGTATATTATTATAATTGGGAAAAATTTATTTGAAGGGAAAACATCGCTAAAAATCGCCAATGGTGATCTCCTGAATTTTTACGCGCAAATATCTAAAAAAAAAATCGCCAAATTGTCGCGAAATCGCCAAATCTGGACACTCTGGCAAGTTCCCCATATGAGAAAACGGATAAAGTTAAAATAGAAATTTGACAGATGTTAAGACACATTTGGTAGAAGGTGGAGACGTGGGGTAAAGGGCTACATGTCCAAAATTATTGCTACGTGTTTCTAATTAATTAATCTTTGGATTTTTTTGGACTCCTGCCCAATTTCACCATTTAATATTAATATTAACACATTTTTCTGCATTTTTTTACATATTTTTCTATGCGTTTTGGCATTTATCTCTCGTAATTGCACCAAAATGACGTCACGCAAAAATTACGCTTAAAAATCCTCTCTCATGGGCGCAGTC